CTGAATATTAAAATAAATCCTCCAACGTGCAGCTGCAGGCTAGGAATTTATTCCCTGCTCCAAAGTACACTTGGCAAGAGACACTCAAATCTAATCTCTGTCAAATATGTTAGTTAGGCACAGTGTCTTTCAACTGATTTATGGAGGAAATAAGACTGAAATGGTAACACACTTTAAATGTAAACGGCTCTAGATAAATGGACTTTTAGGTTCATTATGCTTGTTAAACAATAGATTCTGGAATAAGATATATTATGTTTAACAGAAAAGTCAAGTGATAGACATTAGACATCACATTACACTTAAAAGACCATCGACTCCTAAAAAGTTAATGAGAATATTTAATGCATAACTGTTAGACTACATTTCCCATCATTCTTAACAACCAAAAATGATTGTTTTTAGAACCTATCCACAGCTAGAGATCCAGATGACAATGAATAGATAATCCTTTAGAATCCAGATGAATAAAAGTCTCATCTGCATTATCATTTCTTTCATCAATGTGCTTTGGAAACCACAGAGTAAAGGAATTGTTGCTGTCAACAATTTGATACCCTTTTAAAGGGCACCTGTAATGCCCCAAAAATCTCATGCTCATTAGATTTTGAATAAGATTTTATCTCTACAATGTGATAGCAGTTTTGCTAGCAAATGTATAGATTATTAGAATAACCTATTTAAAAATAGGTTTTCTCCCAGCTGTCAGTCAATGCCTTGGCACCCATTGTAAAATCCTACCTACCTAGGGTTATATTTAGCTACAAAATAAATCAGTTCTCAGAATATCTTCAATTCCCCTTAATAATTTTGTAGCCCATCTCCCCAGTTTTTCCTTATCTGCAATATCAAACTGGTGGCCTCTAGGTATCTTTGGATGTATGGCACGATTTCTTAGCAGAAAAGTGGATGTAATATTTTATTTACTGAAAAATAATACATTATATAGATATTACCAAGCATCACAAAAACACAAAAGGGGACTCTTTTGGGGCAGAGCCTGACATCCAAGCAGGCCAGAAGTGTATTCTTGTAGCTCCTGCAAACTCACACAAAATCTTATATGCGGCAGTACAGGGTGTACAGTAGACCGACACTATCACAAGGGGATAATGCATAATAGACCTGCATCGCTATGCTCTGACTACTAGTCCAAATAGTCTCAGAAGACCAGAAGTGAAGGGAGTGCTTCAAGGTTAAATTTGAAGAGATCTGCCAGAATTTCTGACTCCGATTATGCTGCCCACCTTGTATCCCTACTGTGCTTGCCACACTGCAGGCATAACATGCCTTTTCAATTCACTGCACATCCTCTGAGCTGGAGGTCCACCTGGAGTAATTTCCATACCGCTGTCCACATACCCAAAATGCTCTCCATACTTCTGTTTATTAATATTATTACTGGTATTTATATAGTGCCAGCATATTCCGTAGCGCTTTACAATACTATCAGGGGGGAGATTTAACAACAAATGCGATAATTACAAAAACTTACAGGAACAATAGGTCAAACGAGCTTACAGTCTATAGGAGGTGGGGCGTAAAACCCAACAGGACAGGCGGTAGCGATCAAACAACGTGGAGTGAAGAGTTTCTTTCAATACTGTTGGAAAAGTTTCCAAAATGATTTAACTACAGAAGTCACGATTAAAGTATATGGGAAGTTTTATAGATAAATCATTTGGAAATGTGTCTAACAGTATTGAGTGATTTGCAAAGCTTAATAAATTGAGGCCATATTCCAATTAATGGCACACCTGTGACCTGTTGGCATCATCAATGCACTTGTTTTTTTGTAACTTTGAACCTATGATTGAACCTAAAATGTCCTAAAAAATTCAAGGTTTCTTTTGTTGTTTACCTGCGACAGCCACTTTTTGTTAACAATACTGGATTATAATATACACCTGTATCTCTTTTCAGGACAATATTTTTTTTTCTTTCTACATAAATTGTTCATTTTGGGTCCATTCATAATAAGGAATGACAAACAATTGTTAAGTAGTGCGTTTTCAAAAATATTATTGTCATTACGCTGGTGAGATCACTCATTTGGCAAATACTACAGGTTTGTTTCTCGGTTTAACTTTTCATCTTTCATGGTCCATAAAATAATCATTTAGTTGGATCATAGTAAGATCTGCACTCCAGGACATACTTCAGAATTAGCAAAGCCCAAATATTCCTTTCTTGGATAAATATTCTTGTGAAAAAAGAATATAGCCCATGCTCTAAATAATAAGTTTCACCTCACTCTTAAATGATCTGTGTAAATAATAAGACCTGAAGTATATTCAGGGCATAATTCCATATATTATCTAAGTGCAACTTTCAGTTACTGACTGAAGCTTTGGAGATACTCCACCTCAGTTAATTTAACTTTGTTACCATATTATTTGTTATATAGCATTGTTACCATTTATACCTGTAGTTTGCCGCTGTGATTTTCTGTCCATGCAGTTTGTTTTATTGCTATTTTCATTAAATGTATTCCACCAATATTTCATGTCCACATAGCTAATAATATTTTGGTTGTTAGAATTTGGTTGGCAATCTTTTCAATGGTGTACAACAAATGTTTGCTCTCACCCTCAACCTCTCCATCCTTTGCCGCCCTGGCTGTAAATACTTTCGTATAACTGTTTCATCCCCAGGTTCCTTAGGCCTAACTTCAAACACCCAGATCCAAGCAAAACCGAATCTCTAACATTTTTTGAAGTTGTTATAGTTTCCTAAATGTTTTGAGCTTTTATTCATGTACTTACGGGGAATACCATAGCTGCCCTGTAAGTGCCTCGTACCTTAATGGACAGTCAGGTATGTATAGGCGTTGCACCTCTGTTGTGACTGGCCACCACTGTATGGTTGATGCTCTTGCCTTCCATGCTGTAATAGCATGACTAGGTATAACTTGCGTAAGGTGGGAATCTTGTGTAAGAAACAGCCAAAACCATTTTAAAACTTTGTATATATGATCCCATCCTGCATCATACATAGCTATTATTCTCATAGTTCGGGTTTCTGTTTTATTTTCCAACATCTCGAGTGAATCATCCTGAATAGACAATAAGGTCCTATTGTATGGTTCTTTTAGAAATCTGTTTGCATACCCTCTTTAAATAACTCTCTAAGGTTGCCAGCTCTATTTTGGAATTGTTATGCAAATTCTCCAGAGTCTTAGATATTGGCTAACTGGTATGCCTCGTTTTTGGGCTTTTTGATGGTAACTTGACCAGCTCAGAGGGCTTCTGAAGTTTCTGTATTTTTTATAGATGGTAGTGGCCAGACAGTTAGTCTCATCTCTGCAGATTGTAATGTCAAGAAAATTAAGTTTCTCTATTCTTATTTCTGAAGTGAAATATAACTTTAGAGTGTTGTCATTCAAAATGGTCACAGACCCATTGTCTTGTTCCAGTCCATATCAACAACAAATATTGTGTATGTATCATTTTCCATATATAGATGTATTTGGAAAAACCCCTTGTTTCAGGGACAAAGACCACATTTTCCTCCCACCAACCCAGATGCAGGTTAGCATATGAGGGGCACAAGCTGTATCTAATGGAAGGTAGTCCTGTTGAAGATGAAGTAAATATTAACACAAAATGGAGTTTTAACACAAAATGATTTTATCTTCCAAATGTAGTTTCTCTTCTTTGTAAGAAATAGTTAGTGTTATTAACGCCATCTTCATGAGTTTTGCATATGTAAAAAGCCACTATATCCAGACTGCATGAAAAGGCTTTTTCGGGTATTTGGACTGACCTCAACGTTCCATGGTTTCCTTGATGTCTTTCAGGAAGGTTGGTAAATTTTCCACTAGAGGGAGTAGAATTTGATCAATGAATTTACTTATGTTCTTTGCTAATTTGTTGTTACCCGATACCATTGGTCTTCCTGGTGGTTGATGACGATTTTCTTGTGTATTTTTAGCAAGCAATACAAGGCTGCTATTGTAGGCGACCAAATAAATAAAAGTTCTAATTCTTGTTTCAAAATTACTCCTTCATTAAATCTTCAGATAGAATAGTCTTAGGTTCTTGTAGGTAGTTTAGTGTTGAGTCATTCTTTAAGCTACGGTAAATATCGGTATTTTTCAAAGTTAGTGGGATTTTCTCGTAGTGGGTACTATTCATCAGCACAATATTACAACATTTATTTGATGATTTTATCACAATATTCCTGTTGTTTTGCAAATCATTTAAAGCTGATCTTTCAGTTTGTCCTGTACAAAACAGTTGACAGCACTCCCATCCAAACTTTCGATAGAGTCAGTGACCAGTTCACGAACATATTGGAGAAATCTCTGAAACTGTGTGTAAAGTTACTCTTTACCTTAAGGCCTGATTGGCCAGCTACTGACAGAGATTCATTACTTTCTTATAATGCTACTAGAGTATCTACACATTCAGTGTCTTTGGGTGTAAGTCCCAGATCGTTAGCTCTTTTTTCAGTCTCGATGACATGATTCTTGTGGAGGACTTGTTTTCTTGCAAAGAAATTTACATCTTTGGTACAGCTGAATTTGTTCAAATTAGGCTTAAAGGACCACTATAGTGCCAGGAAAACATACTCGTTTTCCTGGCACTATAGTGCCCTGAGGGTGCCGCCACCCTCAGGGACCCCCTCCCGCCGGGCTCTGGGGAGAGGAAGGGGTTAACATCTTACCTTTCTCCAGCGCTGGGCGGGGAGCTCTCCTCCTCCTCTCCTCCTCTTCGGCTGAATGCCATGCGCGGCAGGAGCTGCGCGTGCATTCAGCCAGTCTCATAGGAAAGCATTCATAATGCTTTCCTATGGACGCTTGCATCTTCTCACTGTGATTTTCACAGTGAGAAGCACGCAAATGCCTCTAGCGGCTGTCAATGAGACAGCCACTAGAGGCTTTAGAGGCTGGATTAACCTATTTACAAACATAGCAGTTTCTCTGAAACTATGTTTATAAAAAAAAGGGTTAACCCTAGCTGGACCAGGCACCCAGACCACTTCATTAAGCTGAAGTGGTCTGGGTGCCTAGAGTGGTCCTTTAAGACAAAATTGAGGTCTTTGGATAGAATGTGGAGGTGAACTGTGAGACGGAGATTGAAGATACATTTACAATGTCCATAGACTTGCTATTGCTTGCTAAAATCTTCCTCTCCTAGTTCTTCTAAATAATCTCATGTCTAGACTCATTTTTTTCTCAAATTGCTGTTTCACTCATTTCTAATTTTAATTTAATTTGCAGCACATTCACTCTTCAATTAGAAAGCCTATCTTATGTGACTCTTCTTTGTGATCAAATTTTAATAATCCAGTTGTGTACATTGCTCCATCATCAACATCATCATAATTTTTCTTTTCTTTCCTTTAATATTCATTAATTAGTAAAAATTCACTCAAGTCGACAATACTCACTTGAGTAAAAAAAATAAATAAATATTAATTAGCCCCCGTAAAAGAACCTTCTGTTGTGACGAGTCCAATAGTCCATGTAACAATTACAGAAAAACAGACAAGGAATAATAGTGAGCAATAAAATCTTTGACCATTGTTCAGTTCATTCTCTCTGTCTCTTTATTTTGTTTTTCTCTTCCTCCGCCTTGAAGCTGCCCTGTGGAACGTGACTTCTCTTCAGAAGATCAAAAGAAAATTCTTCCTGCAGTTCCTACGAAAGTGTAAGTCAATATTCGATTAAAATAAGATATAAATGTCATCCCTTGCACTTTTCCACCACGCAGACCTTGCAATTACTGAAATGTGCTGAATACTAAAATATTAATAGCAATAACAAAATAACACTGCATATTTCAATAAAATGTAATTATAGATGCTATCAGTTCGCTGTTCAGTGCCATGGCAAAGGATAAAATGTCATTTTAATTACTTTACGGTACAGATATCTGTGCCAGCTCCCAAGATTATTATTCTGTCTTTTGGAATAAGTGAGCGGCAAGTTCATAAATCAAATGAAATGCACTCTTTTACAGACTTGGATGGACTGATAAGATTTGTTGATCCATTATAACATTTGTTCTGTTCATTATTTAACGTATCAAACCCCATGGCATATTTAATTGAGGAAACCTAGACTAACACATTATAAAAACATGTTATTCTTTTACGTTCTAGCCACTCTGATACTAATGTTTCTAACTATCTCTGTTTACATTAATGCTGTCGGTATGGTGATGTAACCTGGAAGTAGACTTGCGCATTCGGCTTTAAATGAATTGGAATTCGCCAGATTTTGGGAGATCGGTGGGTCGTCCGAATTCCATAATTCTGAAGCACCATATGGATGTATCCATAAAATCCCTAAATGGATAATGAATCAACAATTTCATTTGGTTTGGGAATTGGAGTTCTGTCTATGGTGCTTAAAAAAAAAGAAAAGAAAAAAGAGAGTTGATCAATAGAGTGAAAAAAGGAGGGCAGTGCAAAAAAAACCCCCACAACTATAGTTATATACAATATTGCAATGTGTTTAATACTTTGTTTTATTTAATCAATATATCATTTTACTTTTTTTTTTTTTCTGCCCCTCCTTTTTCCCCTCTGTTGGTTACTTCTGCTCACCTGATCTGTAAATTAAATAACAAGAAAATGCACCTACAAATGTCCTGCAAAATATTTTCATATATATTGAAGTGCACTGATTGGCCAATTTTCTGACAATTCTTCTAAATTGTTTTTCCTAAAATGATTGAAAAGTGATAGAGAAAACATTAAAAATGGAAATAAGGAGTCTTATTAAAGCTGGTCCCTCCACCATGGCTTAGATCATCAGTCTTGATCATCTCAGCCAACCAAAGCTCTCCGATAAGAAAGCATTGGAAGGCTAGTGCACATGTGCAGCAAACCTCTGCGCCAATCAGCATATCCTTATTGAGATGGATTGATTTAATGCATCTCTAAGGGGGGCATTCAGCAGGAGATGCTAAATAAAGGTCCTGCAGAGATTGCAAAGCTGAACCCAGGAGGTCCCTCTAGTGGTTGTCGGAGTTCCGGTGACTATAGCGTCCCTTTAATACCGAGTAACCTTTTTGTTTTGGCAATTTCCTTACAGTTGATCCTGACATAGCTCATTCTTTATGTTAATAAGAAGAGGTGATATCAATTGAGCCTCATTCAAGTGATTGAACTTGGACACAGACTTTTATATTTAGCAAAACAAGGCGCTTAAAGGAACACTCCAATGAAATATATATATATATATTTTACAATTTAATAGTTATACACCCAGTGAATACAAGTACACATATATTGCTGCATTTTTTCATTGGGGTTTTATCTATAAATACTAGACATATGCAATTCGCTTCGTTCCGAATGTACATTCGAACATATTTTGTGAAATTTGGACATTCAGATGCTTACAAATATCAGAAATTCGAATTGCCGAAGTGCCGAATTTCTGAAGTGCCGAACCCAACCGAATTGCTGAAGTTCCGAATTGCCGAAGGGCTTCGGATTTCTGAAAGGTGGCAAAACAAGTGATTAGGGTTAGGGTTGGGGTTACAGTTTAGGGTTAGGGTTTAGGGGTTAGGGTACGAATTACCGAAGATCCGAAGTGCCGAATTGCCAAGTGCCAAACCGAACCAAATGCCATTGGTCCGAATTGCCGCAGCAGATGAATTTTTTTACTTACCTGAATTTCCGAACTGAACTGAATGTTTTGCCCATGCACATCCCTAATAAATACAGCTTGCAAAATCTGCAGATCTGCAGCTTTTGGAAGCCCTCCCCTTTTTTCACAGAACAGATTTTCAGTCTGTGCTCTTTAAATGAACAAGTAATCAGAGGCATCTCATTAAGAAGCTTTCAACCCAAGTCCTCCAGGCTGTTAGTCAACCTGTTGAACAGGTAATCCAGGCAGGGCCAAAGTGCAGTTCTGGACACACGCTGACTGGCAAACTTTTACTTGAAGGCCAGTGTGCTCTAGCAGAGTCTGCCTACTACTTCCATTTAAAAGCTGAAGTGCTTTATGTGCGTCCCTTTTTTAGGAGTTGTTAAAAGGCCTACAGTAGTTCCCTTCTTGAATTAGCCCCAAAATGTTTTATTTTACTAATTAGAAGGCTTGAAAGTGTGGCTTCCTTCTGCTCTCTCCTAAAGTGCCACACTCTCACCTCCAGTTCTTCTACTTTCCCACTGTGTCTATTTGCTGTCTCCCTCAATACCCTTCCTATTGTTCCTGTTACACTTTGTTATTGTCTCGTTTGCTAAATTCCCGTTTTATTGTAAACCACTGCGGAATAAGTTGGCGCTATATAAATACCTATAAAAATAATAATAATAATAATAATATAATTCAAGAAAACAATGTGGCTTACAGAAGGGGAACCTTAAGAATGCAGCTTTTTTTGTCATTTAAAGCCGTATCAGATCTCCTTTCTATTCAATACGTTTTGGAGTACGTGACAGCTGGCAGTCCGGGCAAGAAGTGTTTTTATAGATGCTATGATAACTGGAAATGTGACATAAAACATTGCTGCCACTTTAAATAGATACATTAACGAGATCACCAGACTGATGGTGAGTCAACGAGATAAGGCAATTCTGAGTATTCTCAGAAACTACTACTGCAGCTGCCAAAGTGCCTTAAAGCTGTGAAGTGGATTTTATTTTTTAAATACAGAAACTAGATTGTAATGCGCTTGTGTTTTTTTAAAATAATTGTTATCATTATTGTAATTACTAATTCATTATAGTGAAAAATGACAGTTTATTTATTCGTCTATTATCTTATTAGGAATTTCCTGGATGAATAAAGATCTACCCTCTACAGCTCTGGATGATGTTTAATCTTAGTTAGTCAAAGTGAGTGTCTGGTGTTTCCATTACATTCTTTTCCAAAGAATTCTGCATTAGATCCTGTCTCATAATGAAAGACAATTCTATGTGTTTTGGCGAGAACTGCAAAATGTATCACAATTCTAATGTTTTTATAATGTTCACTGATTTATAAAATACTTCCCTTTTGTATATACATTCTGATGAACTAATACGTTTATCTGTAGTTATATCCCATTCTGTAATTACATTTATTCTGACCGAATATGGACCCTCCTTCTTTCCAGAAAAAAAAAAAGCCCCTTTAGGAATTAAATATTTTATTGTTAATTGATGATTAATTGGATTTATAGCCATGCATGTTTAATACATGTCACTAGTCTAATACTATCCTTACCTTTTTGTGTAATTTTACCCCACTCCCTCTAGCATGTAAGCTCATTGAGCAGGGCCCTCAATCCCTCTGTTCCTGTGTGTCCAACTTGTCTGGTTACAACTACATGTCTGTTCGTCCACCCATTGTAAAGCACTGCGGAATTTGACGGCGCTCTATAAATATCATAATAATAATAATAATACTACAGGATGTATAACATTTTGCAATAAACAGATTATTGTTTTAAATATCCATTTTTTGTTGTTTTAACTTATATATAAAATCTTCTTCAAGACACAGAAAAGTTAAATAGAATTTAGCATGTAATGGGTGTAGCGGGGTGGTTTTAAAAGTTTTAAAGAGTATATGGTATCTGTGGCGGAACCAACCTCGCCACTGTCCACTGGAGAGGCCTGGTTGCTCGCCTGCTCCCTTTAAACTATGGTCCTGCATTTTAAACTTTTATTTTACCGGCAGAAAGGTTTATTCGTGCCTTTCTGCGGACTGTTAAAGCCATGCTACCCCAGATAGCTATGCCATGTAGCCCAGCCGTATACTGAAAGACTGTATGAAAGACTTTGGCTCCATGGCATTTGAACTGTATGTATGTGATCTGAGCACCATCCGGTAATAATGTGCGCTCAGATCTAAGCTATCTGGGGATAGGTAGAATGTGTATGTTCTATGTGATAAATGTAACCGTATGTATTTTTATGTCTTTTATTGTCCTTTGTCTGCCATGTGTTCAATGGAGTTTTGCCTCTGTCCTGGAGATAATTGGATTACTTCCCAATTATCTCCAGGATAGAAGACTCTGTGGAATTGGTTTTGGGCAGAAAAGCCATGCTGCATTTGGTCAAATAGGACTTTTCCTTAACTTTTTAACTCCTGGATGGAATTGGCTGAATTTTGGTTATGTTTATATTTAAAGTATGCTGATATTATGTGAATATGATGCATATTTTTAAAGTTACAGTGTATGTATAAAAAGTGTATTTTTCCTGCCTGTGATAAATTACATTAACCCATTGTGTTCAGTAATTATATCACAAGCAGAGGGGAGGGAT